GCCCACCTCCTGCCAGGTCTCAATATCTCCTCTGTCCCTCTTTTGATACGCCTCATAAAAATACGCATCCCTTGCCAGGCTGAGTGCTTACCATGTTTGCATGCCCACCTCCTGCCAGGTCTCAATATCTCCTCTGTCCCTCTTTTGATACGCCTCATAAAAATACGCATCCCTTGCCAGGCTGAGTGCTTACCATGTTTGCATGCCCACCTCCTACCAGGTCTCAATATCTCCTCTGTCCCTCTTTTGAGACGCCTCATAAAAATACGCATCCCTTGCCAGGCTGAGTGCTTACCATGTTTGCATGCTCACCTCCTACCAGGTCTCAATATCTCCTCTGTCCCTCTTTTGAGACGCCTCATAAAAATACGCATCCCTTGCCAGGCTGAGTGCTTACCATGTTTGCATGCTCACCTCCTACCAGGTCTCAATATCTCCTCTGTCCCTCTTTTGAGACGCCTCATAAAAATACGCATCCCTTGCCAGGCTGAGTGCTTACCATGTTTGCATGCTCACCTCCTACCAGGTCTCAATATCTCCTCTGTCCCTCTTTTGAGACGCCTCATAAAAATACGCATCCCTTGCCAGGCTGAGTGCTTACCATGTTTGCATGCTCACCTCCTACCAGGTCTCAATATCTCCTCTGTCCCTCTTTTGAGACGCCTCATAAAAATACGCATCCCTTGCCAGGCTGAGTGCTTACCATGTTTGCATGCTCACCTCCTACCAGGTCTCAATATCTCCTCTGTCCCTCTTTTGAGACGCCTCATAAAAATACGCATCCCTTGCCAGGCTGAGTGCTTACCATGTTTGCATGCTCACCTCCTACCAGGTCTCAATATCTCCTCTGTCCCTCTTTTGAGGCGCCTCATAAAAATACGCATCCCTTGCCAGGCTGAGTGCTTACCATGTTTGCATGCTCACCTCCTACCAGGTCTCAATATCTCCTCTGTCCCTCTTTTGAGACGCCTCATACAATTACGCATCCCTTGCCAGGCTGAGTGCTTACCATGTTTGCATGCCCACCTCCTACCATGTCTCAATATCTCCTCTGTCCCTCTTTTGAGACGCCTCATAAAAATACGCATCCCTTGCCAGGCTGAGTGCTTACCATGTTTGCATGCTCACCTCCTACCAGGTCTCAATATCTCCTCTGTCCCTCTTTTGAGACGCCTCATAAAAATACGCATCCCTTGCCAGGCTGAGTGCTTACCATGTTTGCATGCCCACCTCCTACCATGTCTCAATATCTCCTCTGTCCCTCTTTTGAGACGCCTCATAAAAATACGCATCCCTTGCCAGGCTGAGTGCTTACCATGTTTGCATGCCCACCTCCTACCATGTCTCAATATCTCCTCTGTCCCTCTTTTGAGACGCCTCATAAAAATACGCATCCCTTGCCAGGCTGAGTGCTTACCATGTTTGCATGCTCACCTCCTACCATGTCTCAATATCTCCTCTGTCCCTCTTTTGAGACGCCTCATAAAAATACGCATCCCTTGCCAGGCTGAGTGCTTACCATGTTTGCATGCTCACCTCCTACCATGTCTCAATATCTCCTCTGTCCCTCTTTTGAGACGCCTCATAAAAATACGCATCCCTTGCCAGGCTGAGTGCTTACCATGTTTGCATGCTCACCTCCTACCAGGTCTCAATATCTCCTCTGTCCCTCTTTTGAGACGCCTCATAAAAATACGCATCCCTTGCCAGGCTGAGTGCTTACCATGTTTGCATGCTCACCTCCTACCATGTCTCAATATCTCCTCTGTCCCTCTTTTGAGACGCCTCATAAAAATACGCATCCCTTGCCAGGCTGAGTGCTTACCATGTTTGCATGCTCACCTCCTACCAGGTCTCAATATCTCCTCTGTCCCTCTTTTGAGACGCCTCATAAAAATCCGCATCCCTTGCCAGGCTGAGTGCTTACCATGTTTGCATGCTCACCTCCTACCAGGTCTCAATATCTCCTCTGTCCCTCTTTTGAGACGCCTCATAAAAATGCGCATCCCTTGCCAGGCTGAGTGCTTACCATGTTTGCATGCTCACCTCCTACCAGGTCTCAATATCTCCTCTGTCCCTCTTTTGAGGCGCCTCATAAAAATCCGCATCCCTTGCCAGGCTGAGTGCTTACCATGTTTGCATGCTCACCTCCTACCAGGTCTCAATATCTCCTCTGTCCCTCTTTTGAGACGCCTCATAAAAATGCGCATCCCTTGCCAGGCTGAGTGCTTACCATGTTTGCATGCTCACCTCCTACCAGGTCTCAATATCTCCTCTGTCCCTCTTTTGAGACGCCTCATAAAAATGCGCATCCCTTGCCAGGCTGAGTGCTTACCATGTTTGCATGCTCACCTCCTACCAGGTCTCAATATCTCCTCTGTCCCTCTTTTGAGACGCCTCATAAAAATGCGCATCCCTTGCCAGGCTGAGTGCTTACCATGTTTGCATGCTCACCTCCTACCAGGTCTCAATATCTCCTCTGTCCCTCTTTTGAGACGCCTCATAAAAATGCGCATCCCTTGCCAGGCTGAGTGCTTACCATGTTTGCATGCTCACCTCCTACCAGGTCTCAATATCTCCTCTGTCCCTCTTTTGAGACGCCTCATAAAAATGCGCATCCCTTGCCAGGCTGAGTGCTTACCATGTTTGCATGCTCACCTCCTACCAGGTCTCAATATCTCCTCTGTCCCTCTTTTGAGACGCCTCATAAAAATGCGCATCCCTTGCCAGGCTGAGTGCTTACCATGTTTGCATGCTCACCTCCTACCAGGTCTCAATATCTCCTCTGTCCCTCTTTTGAGACGCCTCATAAAAATGCGCATCCCTTGCCAGGCTGAGTGCTTACCATGTTTGCATGCTCACCTCCTACCATGTCTCAATATCTCCTCTGTCCCTCTTTTGAGACGCCTCATAAAAATGCGCATCCCTTGCCAGGCTGAGTGCTTACCATGTTTGCATGCTCACCTCCTACCAGGTCTCAATATCTCCTCTGTCCCTCTTTTGAGACGCCTCATAAAAATGCGCATCCCTTGCCAGGCTGAGTGCTTACCATGTTTGCATGCTCACCTCCTACCAGGTCTCAATATCTCCTCTGTCCCTCTTTTGAGACGCCTCATAAAAATGCGCATCCCTTGCCAGGCTGAGTGCTTACCATGTTTGCATGCTCACCTCCTACCAGGTCTCAATATCTCCTCTGTCCCTCTTTTGAGACGCCTCATAAAAATACGCATCCCTTGCCAGGCTGAGTGCTTACCATGTTTGCATGCTCACCTCCTACCAGGTCTCAATATCTCCTCTGTCCCTCTTTTGAGACGCCTCATAAAAATACGCATCCCTTGCCAGGCTGAGTGCTTACCATGTTTGCATGCTCACCTCCTACCAGGTCTCAATATCTCCTCTGTCCCTCTTTTGAGACGCCTCATAAAAATGCGCATCCCTTGCCAGGCTGAGTGCTTACCATGTTTGCATGCTCACCTCCTACCATGTCTCAATATCTCCTCTGTCCCTCTTTTGAGACGCCTCATAAAAATGCGCATCCCTTGCCAGGCTGAGTGCTTACCATGTTTGCATGCTCACCTCCTACCATGTCTCAATATCTCCTCTGTCCCTCTTTTGAGACGCCTCATAAAAATGCGCATCCCTTGCCAGGCTGAGTGCTTACCATGTTTGCATGCTCACCTCCTACCATGTCTCAATATCTCCTCTGTCCCTCTTTTGAGACGCCTCATAAAAATGCGCATCCCTTGCCAGGCTGAGTGCTTACCATGTTTGCATGCTCACCTCCTACCATGTCTCAATATCTCCTCTGTCCCTCTTTTGAGACGCCTCATAAAAATGCGCATCCCTTGCCAGGCTGAGTGCTTACCATGTTTGCATGCTCACCTCCTACCATGTCTCAATATCTCCTCTGTCCCTCTTTTGAGACGCCTCATAAAAATGCGCATCCCTTGCCAGGCTGAGTGCTTACCATGTTTGCATGCTCACCTCCTACCATGTCTCAATATCTCCTCTGTCCCTCTTTTGAGACGCCTCATAAAAATACGCATCCCTTGCCAGGCTGAGTGCTTACCATGTTTGCATGCTCACCTCCTACCATGTCTCAATATCTCCTCTGTCCCTCTTTTGAGACGCCTCATAAAAATACGCATCCCTTGCCAGGCTGAGTGCTTACCATGTTTGCATGCCCACCTCCTACCAGGTCTCAATATCTCCTCTGTCCCTCTTTTGAGACGCCTCATAAAAATACGCATCCCTTGCCAGGCTGAGTGCTTACCATGTTTGCATGCTCACCTCCTACCATGTCTCAATATCTCCTCTGTCCCTCTTTTGAGGCGCCTCATAAAAATACGCATCCCTTGCCAGGCTGAGTGCTTACCATGTTTGCATGCTCACCTCCTACCATGTCTCAATATCTCCTCTGTCCCTCTTTTGAGGCGCCTCATAAAAATACGCATCCCTTGCCAGGCTGAGTGCTTACCATGTTTGCATGCTCACCTCCTACCATGTCTCAATATCTCCTCTGTCCCTCTTTTGAGACGCCTCATAAAAATACGCATCCCTTGCCAGGCTGAGTGCTTACCATGTTTGCATGCTCACCTCCTACCAGGTCTCAATATCACCTCTGTCCCTCTTTTGAGACGCCTCATAAAAATACGCATCCCTTGCCAGGCTGAGTGCTTACCATGTTTGCATGCTCACCTCCTACCGAGTCACATAATCTCCTCTGTCCCTCTCTGGTGGGCCACCACTGGTGGCTGGATGCTAAATAATCCCAAGGATGAGAGGGACTGGCTGGGTGCTGTTTGTCCCACTCACCTCTCTCCCTGGCGTCCCTTGAAGTCTTTGACTTGCTACCAACAGGTACAGCGGCAGTCCCTCCCTGCTAGGTCAGGATACCACTTACTCTTCTTTCCTAGTGTGCCACCACTGGTGGCTGGATCCTGGGTGGGTGCTATGCCATGTTTTGAGATGTCTCAAAAGTGGATCCTGGGTGCTATGCCATGGATGACAGCGACTGGTTGCTGTTTCTCTCACTTCTCACCCCTGCACCCCTTGACTTCCTAACAGCAGGCACAACAGCCGTCTCATCCATGTCAGGATACCTCCTCCGTCCTCTCCCACTGGTGGCTGGACCCTGGGTGCTATGCCACGGATGAGAGGGACTGGCCGGTGGCTGCCTCTCTATCTCCTGTGCGTCCCTTGACCCCTCTATCTCTCAACCATCCCTTGACTTCGTACCAGCAGGTACAACAGGAGTCTCAACCAGGTCAGGATATCTCCCCCTCTCTCTCCCACTGGTGGCTGGACCCTGGGTGCTATGCCACGGACGAGAGCGACTGGGTGGCGGTTGAAGCAATTCACAGTGGTGCAGAGGACTTTGCGGTGGTAGGGGAAGGGGAGGGGGTGAGTAGGGAGGCTGGGTATGATTTGGAAAGGCAGCACGGGAAGGAGAAGGAGTTGCTGCAGCAGCAACAGCTTCAAGAGTCCTCGCTCCCACTAACACCCCAGCCTGCAGCAGCCTCTGGACTCGCACCGAGCACACAGGAGGGCACAGCAAAGCAGCAGGTAGAACAGTCGGGAAAGCAAGCAGGAAGTAAGAATGATGCGCATGAGCATGGGCTCGCAGGGGTAGATGATTTGGATGAGCTGCTGGGAGGGCAGGCAGGGAGCAGCAGCGGTGCATCCAGAGCAGAGAATCTGCAGACGAAGCAGCAAGCAGAAGCAGGGACAGCAGCCCCTGTGAACGTGCACGAGCATGGCAATGTGCGTGGTTTTGCAGGGGAAGATGATCTGGATGAGCTGTTAGGAGGGCAGGCAGGGAGCAGCAGCGGTGCAATTGCAATGAAGGAAGAGGTGAAGACAGCAGGTGGTTTGGGTGTTGCCAATGCAGGTGCTGCACAGGTGAAGCCGGAACTGAAGCCAGCAGCAGCGCCACAGACACCCGCACTGGATGATTTTGATGAGCTGCTAGGAGGGCAGGCAGGAAGCATCAGCAGAATCACAAGTGCAAACAGGGGAGAGAGGAAGGCAGCAGGTGGTTCGGGTGTGGCTAAAGTAGGTGCTGCACAGGTGCAGCCTGAACTGAAGGCAGCAGCTGCACCACCGGCACTAGATGATTTTGACGAATGGTTCGATTCTGTTACGTAGTTACGGTAGTATCTGGTGGTTTGATGAATTGTTTGATTCTGTTTACGTAGATATCCATAGTGATTTCATCCATTGCCAAGGAGCATTTCTGGGCTCCCTCCACCTGGTAAGGTAGTTCAGCAACTTGGGGTACAATCTAATATTCCAGCAAAAAACTCTCATACACAATGTAGTTATTTGAATTTCTGCTTTGTATATATCACAGGCGTCTTGTAACGGGCTCGGCCAAGCCTGTCCCTCCCCCCCCCACACCAATCCCCGACCCAAGCATGTGCATCACGCCTAGCCAACCACCGCCAGTCCCATCGCGTCGCATCCTTCAGATTGCTCATCCTAGATCATTACAGAAATCGCACGGCTGTCCTTAATCCTGGAGCGTGAGCCTTTTGATCGCCATACTCTCCTGAGTCTAGCAGTCGATGCATGTGACACGAGCGCGCACAGGTCAGAATGCGAAATGCCACGTGTACCAAGCCTGCCACGCTGCATGCTCTATCGGTCACACGGTGCGAGCTCGATAACTCTCCTGAGTCTAGCCCGGGATTCTCACGCGACTACCCCCACCTGAAGCTTGCTTCCCATGCCGCTCTCTCAGAAACCAGCGACTGTTTGGCCGTCGATCATGCAGAAGCCGAAATGGCCTTGGATTTACCACATTTTGCGAGAATTTTGCGAAAATCCCGCGAGACGGTAACACGGCGTCATACGAACAGGCAATCCAGCCAGGGGTAACGCGAGACAGCTGCATGTCACCATCCCACTCGCTCCACACACCCTGCTTCCCTTGGCTCTGCTCCCTCTCCAGGTAGTTCAGTCTGCCGTTTTCTCCCGGGGACAAAAACTCCTTGCTCTCGTCGTGCGTATACGTTCTGCCTTGTACTATCTGTTCCATTACTACTCTTGCCGCTGCGATATCTCACGTGCTGTTCTCGCTGCTCAAGCTACTTGCTGCTGGTTGCTCTTGTCTCCTCTCTTGATTCTCACGCTCGCTGCTGCTTCCTGCTCCATCTCGTTCTCCCTCGGTCTCTTGTTTCTCACGCTCGCTGCTGCTCAGCTGATACCTGACTGTAACTCATGGGTCGGACGGTGGGAGTCTTGATGGCGGCAGCAGGGCTGGTAGCAGCTCTGCTTGCCTCGTGGCTCACCAGATGGATGCTCGTGGGGGTTCCGAATGAGGCTTTGCACACCAGCCAGCAGATGCAGACTGTATGTTACCTTTTTGTACACTTCTTGGTGTTTTCCGTTCTGCTATACTTGTTGTTTTCATTCCTGCACTGTACCTGTTGTACTTGTTGTCGTTCCGAGTTGTGTACACCTGGTTTTTCACCTGTCAGAAACCCCGCCTAGGTTCTGTTTATACCTGAGTTTTCAGCTTATGTCATGGCCCTCCATCCTTTTCGTATTCGCCATGCAACACCATGCATTTGCATCCGCTCTACTGCTTCCTCGTGCCATGCCTCTTGCACCTGCAGCTCCCTCAGCTGGCAAATTGCTCTTCGCAGGCGCGGAGCCTTTGACACAAGAAGCCAAGCCACTGGCATCAATAAAGCACACACCATGCGTTGTTCCCAACCCAACCCTCTCTTGTCTCTTGCAGCTCCCTCAGCTGCCAAATATCTCTGCGCAAGCACCCGAGCCTTTGGCACAAGAAGCCAAGCCTTTGTTGAGCCTTCCTGGTGTAAGTACAACAAGCTGATTAAGTGCACTGTATGATAAAAGAAACGTATGTCGAGTCAACCTTTGTTGAGCCTTCCTGGTGTAAGTACAACCTGTGATTGAGTGCACTCTCTGATTGAGGGCTCAACTGTGCCGTTGGCTAGGCTCCTACCCTCGCGGCATGCCTCCACAATGACGCATCATCTTGATTCTGTTCTATTCAAGAAGAAAAGATTGGCTAGGCACATGACAGTGGTGCATGACATCCATCACTCGCATGAAGTGGTGGAAGTTTTCCTGCCAGTGATGGCTATTCGTATGCTTGGCTAGGGTTTAGCTTTTGCTCTCCCCCCTCTTTCGCATGCGCATGCCACTTTCCTCCCAGCCCACAGGCAGCAGTACCATATGTCCTGATGCCAAGACATTCTTATCTTACCTTCGACATGTTCATTTCACGGCCATAAATCGTCAGCCTATCAGGGAACTGTTATCTTACTTCCAGCGTGTTCCTGATGCAAGCATGGCTCATCAGCTTCTGATGGTACGAACTGCAGTATTTGGGTGCTTATGTTGGCAGCTGTCGCTTATTTACCGATCACTCATTCATGTTTCCCATGCCTCTTAGCTGGAAAGGGGCACGCATTTCTTCTGTTCCAGCATCTCTTCTGTCGGAAGTCATTGTTTTGTTAGAGTTTCCACTTTGATTCTGTTCTCTTGGTGCATGGATAAAGGCTTTGATTGGTTCAAAGTTCATTATTGCAATTCTGATTTTCCGATCCAACTTTTTTTGGGGGGCTATGTCTAGGGCAGAGTACCAACAATAAGAAAGCTCCGCTCTTGACCTGCCAGTTTGTGTTTCCAGAATGCACTTGATTTCCACATGTCCCTGCTTTCCAAAGAAGACTAAAAGCCTCCAGTAGTTTCAGTGGTTTTTATATCTGTAATCTGCACTTTGTCCCACAGGTTTCCACGCTGTGTGTAGGCGGCTCTGCTCTCTGTGCCCTACTCTTATGGGCACGCACGCGTCTCTTGCGAGTGAGCAAATCGATCTATCAGCGACTCAAAACACGGCAGGCATTGAAGGAGGGTCGTGCAATGGGGGCAAATGACGTTGGTGAGGGCACAGGCTGTGGTGTGAATAGCGAGGTGGGGAGGAGGAGGACAGGGAACGAGGGGAGGAGTGAGGTGCATGAGCGTATGAATGAGTTGAAGAATGAGTTGAAGGATGAGTTGAAGGGTGTTTTGAATGAAGAGTTTAAAAATGAGATGAAGGTTTTCTCAGCTGGCATCTGCGCAGGTGTGGAGGAGAAGGAGAAAGTGGTTCTGGGAGAAATGAAGGGTGATTTGGGTGAGCTGAAAGGCCGTTTATTGAAGGTGGAGGGTGAAATGGCAGCAGGGAGGGCAAAGGCAGCTGTGGAAATGGCAACTGCAGGGAAGGTGAATCGCTTGGAGGAAGCAACGGGGGAGGGCTTTGCAGCAGTGAAGGGGGAAGTTGCCTCAGTGAAGGGGGAAGTTGCCTCAGTGAAGGGGGAAGTTGCCTCAGTGAAGGGGGAAGTTACGGCAGTGAAACGTGAAGTTGCCTCAGTGAAAGAAAAGGTAGTAGCAGTGGAAGGGAACCTGGCAGCAGTGAAGGGCGAGTTGGCTGACCAGAGGGTCCGTTTGTTAGAATCAGAGGCAGCAAGGGAAGAGGGCGTTGCAGCAGTGAAGGGGGAAGCAGCAGCAGTGAAGGAAGAGGTAGTGACAGTGGGAGAGAACTTGGTAACAGTGAAGGAGATAGTTGCCGCAGTGAAGGGGGAAGTGGAAGCAGCGAAGGGAAAAATAGCAGCAGTGGAAGGGGAGTTGGCTAACCAGAAGGCCTGTCTGTTGAGATGTGAGAAGGAGAAGAAGGCTGTGGAAAGGGATGCACCGCATGAAAGGGTGAAGCACGGCAAAGCGTCGGAAGTGGAGGAGTGCAGGCCTTCGTGATTCGTGAGTGTGAGTTGCGATTCATGAATCTTGCGGAAAGGGATGTGCATGGCGCAAGTGTAGGAGGAATGCTGGCCGTTGTGAGCCGCGGTTACTCCATCACTTGCAGTCGTAGTAATGAATCGCATGCCCTGACCGATCTTGATTGCATGTGCAGGTGAAGGCAATTGGGCATTTTGTGAAAAGAGGCTGAAGAAGAGGGGCAACTGGTATGGCATGTGTATTGGGGATTCAATAGCGGTTGGCTTGTAGAGGGGATGCACATGAGCGTTGATGTCCTTCCATAATGGGAGATGGTGTCAAAAGATATGCTTGTTATTATCTAGGCTGTATTGGGGTTAGCCTTAGAGGGTACAAAAACAATCTAGTCTTGCACCCCAATCTTGACCTAATCAATCATTCCCTATGACTTAGTCTCAACATGGTAACTAGAGCAGGAGGTCTCTAGGACCTAAGAATCGGGCCCACCTAACTGTGTTACCCCACCTGCCTTGCCAACTGCCCGCGCGCGCCTCGGCTGCAGCGCGCGTCATCTTTTTTTTTTTTTCGCGCGCGCGTCACTGTTTTCAGCGCGCGCGTCACTGTTTTTAGCGCGCGCCACTGCTGCAGCGCCGCGCGCTGGCCCGCGTCGCCCGCGCAGCTCGCGTCGAGCCCGCGCAGCTCACCGCCGCGCGCAGCCCGCCGTCGCGTGCAGCCCGCCGTCGCCACACGCGCCATGTCTGTCGCCAGCGCGGCCCGCCGCTGCGCCGCGCGTCGCGTCGGCCGCCTGCGCGGCCCGCTACTGCTTAGCGTGCTGCTTTAGGGGCTCGCGTGCGGCCGCTCCTGCCTGTTGCCTGCTGCCTCCTGCCTGCTGCCTGCTGCCTCTGCCTTTGCTTGTGGCCTGGTGCCTGCTGCCTCTTGTCTGCTGCCTGCTGCCTCCTGCCTCTGCCTGGAGCCATTATGACGACGCCTAACGTTCTAGGGTTCGAGCCTGACAGTCGCCCCATAGAGTTCACTGTGTGGTTAGACGATCTCCAGCTGTTCCTTCTGACCGATGCCAAAGAGGGCGTTTCCTTGTTCGATTACGTATCTGGCACTGTCGTTGCTCCTGCTGCCGATGCTCCTGCTCTCGAACGCTCATTGTGGCGGACTCGCGATGCTGCTGCACGCCTTGCTATTAGGAACCACCTGCCGATTACTGAGCGCGCGCATTTCAGCCAGCACAAAACTGCTAAGACACTGTACGACGCTGTAGTTGCGCGCAACTCCTCCCTGGCCACTGCAGCCATAGGTCGACTCATGCTACCTTACCTGTTCCCCGACCTTTCCTCGTTCACCACTGCTGAGGACCTCATTTCCCACCTGCGCGCCACTGACACTCACTTTTGTGCCGCCCTTTCAGCCGAGTTCTGCGCCGCAACCCCCCCCCCCCCCCCCCCCCGATGTACTTCACTCTCTATTTCCTCGTCACCCGCCTCCCTGGCACTCTTAGCTCAGTCAGGGACCACTTCCTAGCGCTCGACCCCCCCACTCTCACTGTCGACGACTTCGAGAAGCACCTCCTAGCAGCAGAGAAGAACATCCTCGCTGTAGGTGCTGCTCGTGGCACTCCGCGCTCTCCCCTCTTTGAGGGGTGCTCCCCCTCCCCTCTCACCCCCTCCTACGCCTCCGCAGCTGCTGCTCACGACTACCTTGGTGCTGAGGAGGTCGGGGCTGCTTCCGCTCCTAGTGGGAAGCGTCGCAGCGGAAGGGGCGGCAAGGGTGGCAGGGGAGGTGGGGGTGGCGGTGGAGGTGGTGGTGCAGGCGGCGGGGGAGGTGGAGTTGGTGGGGGTGGTCGTGGGGGTGGAGGTGGTGGAGGTGGTGGTGGGGGCGGCGGGGGCACTGGGAGCGGTGGAGGTGGCAGCGGCAGCAGTGTGGGAGGGGGGAGCGGTGGTGGCAGTGGTGGTCCGGGCCAGCAGCAATCGCAGCAGCAGCAGCAGCAGCAGCAGCAGCAGCAGCGTCAGCGCCAGACCCCCACTTCCCAGCAGCTTCTTGACTGGTATGCCGGGCGTGGGGCTTCAGGGGGTCCTGGTCGCTGCCCCTATATCATTCGCACAGGTCTCCGCACTGGTCGCCAGTGCACAGGGTTTCACACTGAGCAGCGCTGCTTCGCTCGGCTTAGTGACGCCTGGCGAGCCTAGTTTCCTGATGCTACTGAGTTCCCCAACTGGGCAGACCTGCTTAGGCGTGATGTACCTATCTTTGATCTTGACTATGAGGCAATTCTTGCTGCTATGTATGCATTGACTGTTAGTGCTGAGGGTGACTGCTACTTGTGTGTGCCGCCGGATCCTGGTATAGCCCCTGGTATAGTCCCTGCAGCACTAGGTGCTTGTGAGTCTGCTCCCCTTGGTACTGCGCCTGCACAGGCCTTCCACACACCTTTACACTTGACTCTGGTGCTTCCCGCTGCTTCTTTCACGATAGTACCACAGTCACTCCCCTCCCTGCACCTGTTCCTGTCTCCCTGGCTGACCCCTCTAGGGGCCCAGTGCTTGCACGGTCTTCCACTGTGCTTCCGTGTCCGGCGGTCCCGTCTGGTGAGCTGTCTGGTCTCCACCTCCCCTCGTTCTCTACGAACTTGGTGAGCAACGCTGTCCTCCAGGATGCGGGTGTTGACACCTTCACCCCTGGCCGGCAGCGTGTGGCGATCTGCACGTGCTCCCAGACCGGCCGCCACCTGGCCACGTTCACCCGTGCGCCAGGGTCCAGCCTGTACACCCTCACCACTGCGTCGCGCTCCACCCTTTTGTCTCCCCAGCTGCTCGCGTCTGCTCAGGCAGCTACCCAGTGTGAGTGTCGCCAGCTGTCTCACGACACTCTCCTATGGCACCACCGCCTGGACCACCCCTCCCTGCCTCGCCTTCGTAGCATGCACTCTCGCTTTCTGGTCTCTGGTCTTCCCAGGTCTCTGCCTCCCCTCCCTCCCTCGCCTGCGCCGCCCTGCATTCCTTGCGTTGAGGGGCGGCAGCGCGCCGCTCCTCACTCCTCCTCGTTCCCTCCCACAGAGGCTCCACTGCAGACTCTCCACCTGGACGTGTGGGGCCCAGCCCGCGTCCGTGGACAGGGCCACGAGCGGTACTTCCTGCTGGTTGTCGACGACTACACGCGCTATACCACGGTCTTCCCCTTGCAGCGCAAGGCGGATGTCCCTGATGTTTTGATCCCCTGGATTCGCGCTACTCGTCTCCAGCTCCGCGAGCGGTTCCAGTCGGACTTTCCTGTCCTGCGTCTGCACTCTGACAGAGGTGGTGAGTTCTCCTCAGACCTCTTGGCAGCCTTCTGTGCGGAGCACGGCATCCGCCAGACTTTCACGCTTCCGGCCTCTCCGTAGCAGAATGGGGTTGCAGAGCGCCGCATTGGCTTGGACATGGAGGTCGCTCGTACCTCTATGATCCATGCGGCTGCCCCCCATTTTCTGTGGCCGTTTGCGGTCCGGTACGCCGCGCATCAGCTCAACCTTTGGCCCCGTGTCTCCTTGCCGGAGACCTCGCCCACACTGCTGTGGACGGGGAAGGTTGGCGACGCGTCGCGTTTCCGGGTCTGGGGTGCTCGTGCCTTTGTTCGCGATACCACCGCGGACAAGCTCTCCCCTCGCGCCATTCCTTGCGTCTTCCTTGGCTTTGTCTCTGACGCCCCTGGCTGGCAGTTTTACGACCCCGCCTCGCGCCGTGTCTTTGCGTCCCAGGACGTCACCTTTGACGAGTCAGTCCCCTTTTACCGCCTCTTCCCCTACCGCACTGCTCCTCGCCCTCTCCCGCCGCTCTTTCTTGCCCCAGGTCCTCCCCAGGTAGACCCCCTCCCCGCACCAGGTCCTGCTCCTTCCGGTGTTTCTCAGGTAGACCCTCCCGTCCCTGCGCCTGTTGAGGTCACTGGTGACTCCGGTCCTGCTGGCGGTGGTGCTGTCCCTGGGGGTACGGAGCTTGGTGGTGCGCAGCGTGGGGGTGCTGAGTCTGGGGGCACTGGACGTGAGGGGCCTGAGGGTACGGAGCCTGGAGGTGATGCGCCTGCGCGTGAGGAGCCCGGAGGTCCTGCGTCTGGGGGTGCTGCGTTTGGGGGTGCTGCGTCTGGGGGTGCCTAGTCTGGGGGTACTGCGTCTGGGGGTACTGAGTCTAGGGGTGAGTCGCCTGAGGGTTCTGAGACTGCTGTTACGCGGTCTCCTTGGCGTAGCCGTCTTCGTCCGCGTGTGCCTCTCACCTCCCAGCAGCTGCACGACTGGTACGGTTGCCGTCAGCGTCGCGCTTCTGCACCCCAGGGCTCTACTGCTGGGGGTTCTTCTGCTGGCGTCACTGGAGCTGGGAGTGGTGCTGGTCCTTTGCCTGCTGGAGGTCCTGGTGTCGCTGGTCCCGGAGGTGCTCGTACTGGGGGTACTGGAGTTGCTGGGGCTGGCGGTGGTGTGTCTGAGGGTGCTACTGCTGGTGGCACTGCGGTTGGAGACCCTGGGACTGGAGGTGCCGGTTCTGGGGGTGCTGCACCAGGTGGGGCTGGTGCTGAGGGTTCTGGAGCTGCTGGAGGTGCTGGAGCTGCTGAGGGTGCTGGGGCTGCTGGCGGTACTGGAGCTACTGGAGGTGCTGGAGCTGCTGAGGGTACTGGAGCTGCTGGAGCTGCTGGAGCTGCTGCGGGTGCTGGAGCTGCTGAGGGTGCTGGAGCTGCTGGAGGTGCTGGAGCTGCTGAGGGTAGTGGAGCTGCTGGAGGTGCTAGAGCTGCTGAGGGTGCTGGAGCTGCTGAGGGTGCTGGGGTTGCTGGAGGTGCTGGAGCTGCTGAGGGTGCTGGAGCTGCTGGTGCTGGTGGCACTGCACAGCCGCGCCTGTTCTTTGCTCCGCCGTCTCCATCGTCTCTGCCACCGCCTGACTCCGTGCTTCGCCAGGTTCTTAGCCTCCCGTCGTCTACTGGTCTTCCGTTACAGCCTGGCTCACCTCTGCCTGCTCCTTCTCCTTATGCTGAGCAAACAAGGGGCCTTGCTTAGCGTCGTGAGCCTGCGT